ACTGGCAATCCAAGGATTTTGGGGGGCTGAGCAGCAGGAACAAGCAGAGTCAGGAGTTGTTTAAAGCTGTAGCAGTTCCTGGGATCTGGGGAAGGTCCTTCCTGAACTGCTCCAATGTGGGTCCCCTTCTATGGGGTCATTCCCTCAGGAACTGCTCCAGAGGGGATCCCTTTCCATGGGATCAGTCCTCCAGGAACTGCTCCAGAGGGGATCCCTTCCATGGGGTCATTCCCTCAGGAGCTGCTCCAGAGGGGATCCATGGGCTCAGCCTAACGATGCTGAGGTTCATTAAAGGTCTCCAGGAGGTTGGAGCAGCTGCTGTTGGGGATCTTCTGAGTCTGGTGGGAGCAGAACTGGCAATCCAAGGATTTTGGGGGGCTGAGCAGCAGGAACAAGCAGAGTCAGGAGTTGTTTAAAGCTGTAGCAGTTCCTGGGATCTGGGGAAGGCCCATCCCGTGCTCTCAGAGCTCGGAGCACGTCCCACGGGGGCTGCAGTCGGGGGGAGGGAGGGTTGGCACCTCATTCCTCACCCAGGGGGCTCCTCTGTGCCCCTGGCAGGACCAAATAAATCATGGACAGAGCCCTGAGCTGCCAGTTTGGCTCTGGAGGGATTTCTGCAGCCTCCTCTGTCTCCCCAGCGCTGGGATAATTCCAAGAAGGGCTCTTGGAAGCCTTTCCCTCCTCTCTGGCTGATAAGGAAAAACAACCCCCCTCTTTTTTTTTTTCCCCAGCAGGTCACAAATTCTGCCACTTTTAGCTGATGGTTTTATTATTTTATGTTTTTATTTATTTATTTAAGTCCAAAGCCTCATTGAGGGAATTTGTAATTTATCCCTGGGAGAGGATGGAAAAGTGAGGGGGGGGAATTTCTCCTCAGGGTTGTGATGGCTTTCAGATGATTGGGATTCATGCAGGGGGGTTGTTCCCATGGAGGAAAAGGGGTTGGAATTAGGTCATGGCTCTGCCCTTTTCTCCATCCTCATATCCATGGGAAGGGCTGGGATCCTTCTGCTGGAGAAACGATCCTGGAGGTGTTAATTAGGAAGAAAAGGGGTTGGAATTAGGTCATGGCTCTGCCCTTTTCTCCATCCTGATATCCATGGGAAGGGCTGGGATCCTCCTGCTGGAGAAACGATCCTGGAGGTGTTAAATTAAGGAGGAAATAATGGTGGAAGTGGAGATTTGGGCACTTGGAGAAATTCCTGGAGATTCCTGGTAGTGGGATGGCCCTGGTTGGTTCCAGACAGTCCCCAAAGCTGCTCCATCCCTGCCCTTCCCAGTGGACAAGGGAAAATAGAACTGAGGTCCATGGGATGGGATAAGGGCAGGGGGGGATTCCTTCAGGAACTGCTCCAGGGTGGGTCCCTTTCCA